ATCAGAAAGGGTATTCCACATGCACGTTCCAGAGATGGATTCTGCATGATGATAAGGCTGGGACTGGATGCAAGTGGGAGACAACGTGCAGGTTGAAGAAGTAGGGAGGATCAAGAAATTAAGAGTCCAGAGTATGAGACAGGTCCAGTGGGCCAGTGATTCTTCACTGGGGCCCTACTGGCCCAGGGGGATATTTGGAAATGTGTGAGGGAATCTTATTGGGGTTTCCCTTCCATCCCATTTTTCTTTTTTGGATGCCACAATGTCACGGGGGTACTACTAGCATTTGGAGGAAGGCAAGATGATGAACATCCTGCAGAAGGAAGGTCTGCCTCCTCGAAAATGCCCAGAGCACCCTCACTGAGAGACACTGAGAAGAGAATGAAGCTAGAAGCTAGTGTCCCCAGGGAAGGTAAGGAGCTTGGCCAGGTGGCTGGCACACCACTGCAATGAAGGGGAGGATAAAAAGTGTCTAGTGAGGGCGCCTGGGTGGCTCAGTCATTAAGCATCTGCCTTCAGCTCAGGTCATGGTCCCAGGGTCCTGGGATCGAGCCCCGCATCAGGCTCCCTGCTCAGTGGGGAGCCTGCTTCTCCCTCTCCCACGCCCCCTGCTTGTGTTCCCTCTCTCGCTGTGTCTCTCTCTGTCAAATAAACAAATCAAATCTTTAAAAAAAAAAAAAAAAGAGTCTAGTGAGACGTGAGCCTCAACCCAGGTTTAGAACTTCAGAACAAGGAGTGAAACACAATGGATTGGAAACAGTAGGAGAGATGTAGGAGAGCAGCAACCTTGACTCCTGGCCCTAGAATATTTCCGGGAAGCATGTGCAGAAAGGAAGGTGGCCACTGCTCAGAGACTGAATGCAAGTGGAGGGAAAGCCAAGTTCAGCTAAAGAAAGGTGGGGCTAGCCAGGGTGAAAAGGGTAAGAATGTGGAGAAGTCTCTCTGCAGAACAGGGAGTTTCCAAGTCCCATTAATCACATCTCAACAATGTCTCAATTCCTTATCTTCCTTTCCATCCCTGCTGCCCTCCACCCTCAAGAGTTTTCACTTGGGCTGTCAAGAGAGCCTTAGTGCTTGTCTCTATGCTATCAATCTCTCACCTTGCCAGTCTACCTTTTACACGGGTGCCAGAAACATCTTTCTTAAAAAACAAGTCTGATCATGTCATTCTCTGCATGAAAACCTTCAACTGTTCCCTTGCTCATCTAACTAAATCCTAAACTTAGGATGGCATTCAAGGCCTTCTATCACCCAGGCTAAACTGAACTATACCAGTCACTTCTCCCTTTTGCATATCTCCATGCCAGACTGCTTGCTCTCCTATTCCCTTTATTCATGGTCAGTTTCCACGATCCTCTGTTGGAACCTATCCGAAACTGTATTCATTTTGCTTTATGTTCAAGTTCACCGCTGTGAGTTCACAAGTCCATCTCTTCCACTACCAGTGCTTTCTTAACTTCCTTGAAGGTAAAATTCACCTGGGATACTTGCTGAAAACACAAATTCCTAGGCCCCATCCCAGACACATGGAATCAGAATCTTTTTTTTTCCTCCAGTTAGATTAGTGCAAGGACTTTCTTTTATTGTCGATGAGAACAGCCACTAGAGAGTTTTGAAAAATGATGGATGTGATCTGTTTTATGTTCTTGAAGGTCCCCTTGTCTGTATCATGGATAATTAACTGTATAGCAGCAAAAGTGAAGTAGTGAGGCCATTCAGGGAGTTACTGCAGAAAACTAAGGGAAGAAGGAGGTAGCTTGGACTTCCCGTGATAGCTGTGGAGGTGCTGAGAAGTGGTCAGACTGAAGCTGCATCTGAATGTAAAGGTGACATGCTGCTAGACAGTCAAGACTGAAATTTGTCTATGAAATTTTAGTGTTAGTCACCTACGTAATTGCTCTTTGTTAGTGTGAGTGTATTTATAAAACTTCTTTCTTAATATTATGTTGCCAGACCTTGCTAAAGAAGACCAGGGCACTACCTGTATAAAATATTTGATAATGCCCCAGAATGCTGGATGGACTACTCTAGAAAAGAAATTATTTCTAAAATAGCATCTTGCATTGTGTAACATGGAATCAGAATCTTTAGGGGAGGGGCCAGGTAAGCCATATAGGATGGTTTTTAAAACACATCCAAAAAAATCTTTTGACATTCCTCCCATTAAAAAGTACAGTCAGGGGCGCCTGGGTGGCTCAGTCGGTTAAGCGTCTGCCTTCGTCTCGGGTCCTGATCCCAGCGTCCTGGGATTGAGCCCTGCATTGGGCTCCCAGCTCAGCGGGGAGTCTGCTTCTCCCTCTCCCTCTGCCTCTCCCCCTGCTTGTGTGCTCTCTCTTTCTCTCTCAAATGAATAAATAAAATCTTTAAGAAAAAAAAAAAGAAGTACAGTCAAATTCCCTTCCCTCTGAAAATGGGCCAACCTTAGAGGCTGGCTTCCAATGAAGACAATGTGGCAAAAGTGATTCTGTGTAACTTCTGAGGCTAGGTCACAAAAGGCCACACAACCCCTGACCCTGACTCCCTTCTTCCTTTGTTTCCTCCCTTCTTCATCTCTGGATGCTTGCCCTTGGAACCCAGCCAACTAAGCCAAGCAGCCACATGGAAAAGCCATGTATAGGTATTCTGACCAGGGCTCTAGCTGAGATCCCAGCTGACTGCTAGCAGCCACAACCTAACTGCTGAGTGAGTGAGCCTTTAGATGACTAGGGGCCCCGTCTTTGAGCCACCCTGGCTGATGTTAAGGGAAGTAGAGGCAAGCACTATACAAACTGGAGATTCATAAGCAAAATAAATGTTAGTATTTCAAGCCGCTAAATTTGGGAGATCTTTTTCCCTGGGCACCAACAGATAACCGGAACACCATATTATTAATAGGCACCCCATGTGAATTTTTTTTTTAAGATTTTATTTATTTATTTGTAAGAGAGAGAGAAGGAACACAGGAAGGGGGAGCGGCAGGCAGAGGGAGAAGCAGGCTTCCCACAGGGCTCAATTCCAGGACCCTGGGATCATGACCTGAGCCGAAGGCAGACGCTTAACAACTGAGCCACCCAGGCGCCCCTACTTTTATTTTTTTTTAAGATTTTATTTATTTATTTGACAGAGAGAGACACAGCGAGAGAAGGAACACAAGCAAGGGGAGTGAGAGGAGGAGAAGCAGGCTTCCCGCTGAGCAGGGGGCCCGATGTGGAGCTCGATCCCAGGACCCTGGGATCATGGCCTGAGCCGAAGGCAGACACAATGACTGAGCCACCCAGGTGCCCACACCACATGTGATTCTTTAGATGAAGGAAGTTAGGGGACTTCATCTACTATATAAACTATAATAACCTATACCATTAATTTCCTTGAGGTTAGGGATTAAATCTTAAGAGCTTTCCAGATCTCTATCCCTTTTTTCTGAAATATCTTTATTGATTTTCCTGTTTTGGTAAGAATAATACATATTTGCTATAAAATTACAGTAATCCAAAATGCATAATGTGGAAGGGAAAAAGGTTATGCAGTCTCCCTCCACCTTCACTCTACCTTAAACAGTAATCAAGGTCAATAGTTTGGAAGGGCAATGTTTTCCACAGAGCAAGTGCGTGATGCATCTGTTATTGAAGAAAAGGGGACATTGTAGATTACAGATACCTACCTCCTATTGGTATTTAGCTGTATCCTAGATACAGCTCCTAGAATCATTTTCTTCAAATGTTGACCATCTTTTTTCTCTTAAATGTATAATAGCTTCCTACTAATTAACAAACTGCTCGTGAGGTAAACCTACCACCTGTCCTAAGCTCCTCCCAGTAGGGCATTTCTATTTGAGTGAAGTCAATGTGTTTGCAATCCCTGGTATATTATTTACATATACTATCCCTTCTACATCTGTTGAGTGCCTACTATGTTCCAGTCACCGTGCTATACAGTGCTATACACGTGCTAGGCATATAAATTAAGCAAGAAAGAGACCCTCATATCAAAGAACTCATGGCAAGCAGGGGGTCAGCAAACTTTTTCTTAAAGGATCAGATAATAAATATTTTAGACTTTGACGCCGTATGGTCTCTGCTCTCTGCTGCTGTAGCATGGAAGCAGCCATAGACAATGCACAAATGGATGTGGCCATGTTCCAATAAACCTTTATTTACTAAAACAGGCAGCCAGTAGGCCATAGTTTGCTCACACAGTTTGCACTGCATTCTGTTCAACAGAATGTTATGCAGTGGTGAAATGTTTCTGTGATCTCCAATATGGTAGCCACCAGCTACATGTAGCTATTGGACACTTGAAATGTGGCTAGTACAGCTGATGAACTGAATTAATTAAATTTAAATAGGCACATATGTAGTGGCTCCCATTATTAGATAACACAGATACAGAGTATACCTAACACTCCATTCAACTAAATCAAAACTTGCCTCAAAACTCATCTCAACTTTGGAAAGCCTCCCTGACTAGCTTCTGCCCGTGATGGTCACTTTCTCTCTCTTATTCTGTTTCTAGTCCTTACTCCCATTCATTTTGGATTTGCTGACACTTTGCGTAAGAATTACACGGTTTTTTTTGTTTTGTTTTTTTTGTTTTTTTAAGATTTTATTTATTTATTTGACAGAGACAGAGAGCGAGAGCAGGAACACAAGCAGTGGGAGTGGGAGAGGGAGAGCAGGCTTCCCGCCGAGCAGGGAGCCCGATGTGGGACTCGATCCCAGGACCCTGGGATCATGACCTGAGCCGAAGGCAGACGCTTAACGACTGAGCCACTCAGGCGCCCAAGAATTACACGTTTTATAATTAACTTTTGTGTTTGTAACTTTTTCTATTCTCAACTAAAAAAAAATTCCAGGATAGAGAATGTGTCTCCTGATTATTATCATCCTTCTCCATGGTGTCTAAATTTCAGAAGGTGCTCAATAAAACCATTTTACACTATGTACTTCCTTTACTTATTTCCCTGACAGGTGGTAGTGTTTGCTCAAGACAGATGGTCATTTTGGACCAGGATCAGCACTTACTTGGAGAATATTTCTACAATAGCCGATGACTTGTTCTTGTTCACCAGAGAAAGTTCTTTGGCCGTTACCCTCAATGATACTGAAGTCCATTGCCGTCTATTAAATGGAGCTGATTCCATCGTCTACAGATACTGAAATACCTATGCAATAAAGAAAGTCAGAATATTAGACATAGACAAGGATTCTTCAGCATCCAAGGACTGGCAGTGGTGTGCCATGACAGAATAGAAAGCCCTAGACCAGCAGAACCACACTCCTCTACTGGTTCTCTCAAAAACTGTAACCTTGGTCAAATGATTCAATATCTGGGTTGTAGTTTCCTGTAAAATGAGAAGGTTAGACCAGATGATCTCTAAGGTTCCATCATTTTATGACTGACCTCAGTGTGCAAACATCAGTTGGTCTTCCCCTGAACTTAAGTCTGTTCCAAAGTCACATTTGGAGTGAAATGTTCCACTCTTCTGAGTTATATCCCAGGGGAAGTACATTTGGCATCTCTGTAGATTCAGGTCCAAATTAGGTTTTACCTATATCCAAGTTTCTTTTGGCTGCTCTCTCTCCCCAAACTCTGCAGCACTGATCACTTGGTCTGGAGAGAGAGCTGGGGACACTGTATGGTATCATATAAAGAGCAAGGGCTTTAAGTTGAGATAGATTTTACTTGAAATCATAACTTTTGTTACCATTTTTTTTTTTAAAGATTTTATTTATTTATTTGACAGAGAGAGACACAGCGAGAGAGGGAACACAAGCAGGGGGAGTGGGAGAGGGAGAAGCAGGCTTCCCGTGGAGCAGGGAGCCCGATGTGGGGCTTGATCCCAGGACCCTGGGATCATGACCTGAGCTGAAGGCAGACGCTTAACGACTGAGCCACCCAGGTGCCCCATAACTTTTGTTACCTTGAACAAACTATATAATCTTTTCAGTTTTAGTTTCTTCAGCTGAAAAATGAGACTAATACCTTCCATTATAGGTGTTTTGATATGGATTTAAGGAGATAATATATTTTAAATACAGTGTAGATTATACTATACTATACAAAATACTTATACTAGTATTAAGAACATTTTAAGTATAATATATTAGAATTGGCTTTTGTTAGAATTCTTATTATTTTTACATTTTAACAATCTTAACAACTGGGGGAAGTATAATGCACTTTATTTATTTTTTGATTATTTATTTATTTATTTGACAGAGAGAGAGAGACAGAAAGAGAGCACAAGCAAGGGGAGTGACAGAAGGAGAGGGAGGAGCAGGCTTTCTGCTGAGCAGGGAGCCCAACGCGGGGCTCAATCCCAGGACTCTGGGATCATAACCTGAGCCGAAGGCAGATGCTTAACTGAATGAGCCACCCAGGCGCCCTGGTATAATGTACTTTAAATTCAGAGGACAAAACCTCTATTCTGAAAGTCCTTTCTAAAATCCCTTAGAGTCAAAGAATACATAAAGCCATGCCCCTGAAATCATCTAGTCCCTATCCATTAATCTGGATTGTTTGTTTTTTGTCCCAGAAATTACCAAAGGAGTTTTTGCCTTAGTAATTACCAAAGGAGTTCCAACCTTTGTCCAGAAGAGGTAAGATTAGAAATGAGCCAATAGTTTCCTTATTTGAAGAGTGAAAAATACTATTTGCAGGTCTCTTGACAACCACAAAGCATAACTGACCTGGCAGAATGCACGGTTCATCAGGTACTGCTTCCAACAACCTTGACAACAACGGAACACACAGTGTGCTTACCCAAGCAGCTTTGGCTGCCATTTCACACTAAAAGTCCTCTTATTCAAAGTAAGTGATAAGCAAGCCTAAAAGACCACACTACTTTTCCACCTGGAGTACTCGTTCTTCCAACTAAAGCATTGTCTGAAAACAGTGCTAATTTTATTGTTTTTGTTTACTTGTTAATCCCCATGTTGGAAGGTAACATAGAAGCCTCTCATGGTAAGGAGGTCTGGCGTTAGAGACAGATGCATCCCTAAAACTTAGATTTCTCATCCATAACAACAGTACTTCCTTCATAATATCCTTATGAGGAATAAACAAGATAAAGAAGAAAAGACCCTGACACAGAATAAGTAATAAATGTTGGTTTTTTTAGTAATATCTCTTTTCCTGGATAAAATAATCTTAATTCTACACGTTCTTTTTTTTTTTTTTTTTTAAGATTTTATTTACTTATTTTGAGAAAGAGAGAGCGGGCAAACAGGGGGTGGGACAGAGGCAGAGGAAGAGAATCTCAAGCAGACTCCATGCTGCGTGCAAAGCCCAATGTGGCACTCAATCTCATGAGCCTGAGATCATGTCCTGAGCCAAAATAAAGAGTCAGATGCTCAACCAACTAGCCACCCAGGCGCTCCTCTACATATGTTCTTTGAAGTAAACTTGAATGTATCAAATAATATATATTTGTCTATCTGCTTTCCAGTTTATATCTGACCCACCAAACATTGTCAGCCCTTATTCTAATGAGAAAAAGACACAGAAACAACAAACAATTCAGCTAAACTTAGTCATGTAAAACCACAATAAAGACCTTTGGACCAAGTTTAGGAAATACTGAACAACACTTTAAGACACCTTTTGGTACAATTGTGCTTCCAATGTAGGTGTGGGTATAATGCTGTCAGTGCTTCTACAGCAATCAATTCTGGATCAAAGAAAAAAAATATAGAAGATATGTTCTCAAATTTATTTATAAAAAGGAAAAATTATTCATTATTTGAGGGACTGAGTGTGGTTAAAAAAAAAAAAAGAATTTAATTCCCAAATCTAATTCCATGGTGTTGATTAATCTTGGCCAGAAATCCAAGAAAAGTTAGAATATCTATCTTGGTATAAGGCTAGGATAAGCATGCTTTATATTCAAGGAATGAGGTAGCTCACACCCTGACCACACTTCTCTTTACAGAAACAATACTACTAATTTCTTAACAATGTGATTAGCACCCTGTGAAACAGATAAAGGTAAGAATCAGTATATGATTTTTGAGAGACTCTGGTATCAGGTTACTGAGTAACTAGCTACTTTCTATAAGGTATAGGGAGAGGGCCCTGCCCAAATAGAGTGTAAAATATATTGACTTGGAGCGGGTTCCCTGCTCAGCAGGGAGTCTGCCTCTCCCTTTCTCTCTGCCCCTCCCCCATACATGTTCTTTCTCTCTAATAATAAAAATCTTTATAAAAAATCTGTTGGCTTGCTGACATGGACACAAATAATTATAGCACAAAGCAGAATGTGGTTAGAGGTAATGCAAGGTCTAGGAGTAGGGGATCTGATTTTCTGGCTTGATGGGAGGGAAGGGAAGAGACATCAGATTGACTTAGGACTTATGGATGGGCAGAATTTCATCAACTGAGGGCAAGAGGAGGAAAGTGCATCTCAGGTAGAGAAAACAGCTTTATACTGCTAGGGAGCTGAAATAGCATAGAATACTTCAATGGAGTTGACCGTAGGTACATGAGTAGTTGAAGATAATGGGGCCAGGATGGGATAAGCCTTGAAAACCATTGTTAAGGAGTCTGGGCCATATTCCAATAGTGGAAAGAACTAGTCTGTGAGTGAGCAGAGATAAGTACTAGTCTTAACATGCCACTCCCTAGCACAGATGCGACCTTCATGGCAAATCAAAAATGTAAGTTCCCTGAGCCCAACACCCACATCTGTAAGATAAGAGTTGTTTTTTTTTGTTTTGTTTTGTTTTTTGTTTTTTTAAAGATTTTATTTATTTATTTGACAGAAAGAGACACAGCGAGAGAGGAAACACAAGCAGGGGGAGTGGGAGAGGGAGAGAGAGGGAGAGAAGCAGGCTTCCCGCAGAGCAGGGAGCCTGAAGCGGGACTTGATCCCAGGACACTGGGACCATGACCTGAGCCGAAGGCAGACGCTTAAACGACTGAGCCACCCAGGTGCCCCAGTAAGATAAGAGTTTTATAGTGGATCACCCATAGTCTCTATGGTGGAACACGGCAAGTCTCTGAAAAAGCAAGTAACATAATGGGAAGCATGTTTTAAAGCTGATTCTGCAGCAGTGTATAACTTGGTAACAAGGGAAAAGATTGGAGTCTAATTTACTTGTCAAAAAGATCCTAAAACTGTCAAAGTGAGAGGTAATCAAGGTTTACATTAGGATGGGGGGGAAGAGTAAGGTGGGAAAAGAGAACTGACAGTTTTTAGAATAAAATGGACTTAGGGATAGAGAAGGAATCAACTCTGGCATCATCAAACTTGAATGATTAGAAGATTGCTGATGTCTTAACAGAGACAGTAAATACAGGAAGAACGGGAGAATGATGAGTTTTGTTTTACACGTGTTGAAATATACACATCTATAAGAAAAATCCTAGTGATACACTATAGGAAGCTAAAAATTCAAGGCTACGGGATGCCTGGGTGGCTCAATGGGTTAAGCATCTGCCTTCGGCTCAGGTCATGATCCCAGGGTCCTGGGATCGAGTCCCACATCAGGCTCCTTGCTCAGCGGGGAGGCTGATTCTCCCTCTGCCTACCACTCCCCCTGCTTGTGCTTTCTCTCTCTCTCTAATAAATAAATAAAATCTTTAAGAAAAAAAATAAAAATAAAAATTCAAGGCTAAGGTTAAAAGACTCTTGGAAAGAAATAAACATTTTACAACATCTACTTACATGAAGTACATAACTCACTTAATTCTCAGAACCACTTTACAAAATTGGTTTTATTGTCTTATATATATGATGAAAAACTAAAATTCAGAGATATTAAATAACTTTACAATGATCTCTTAGTTATATAAAGTAGCAGAGCTGGGATTCAAATCCATAATCTCTTTGATTTCCAAAGTCAATTTTCTTTCCACTACAAGTAATGAATAATGATTAAAACCATCACCTTTAGCCATGGTAGAAAATTGGGTAGCAAAATTTTTGAACCACCTAGCTGCAAACCCATACAAATTATCTCTCAGTAAGAGTGTAGTAGCAATGATCTTCTCAGAACGGTCAACATCAGAGATAATCATTTGTTCTTTCAGTGAAACTTAAGAGTTATCTTGGGCCTACTTGAAATACTCTCCATTTTTAATACTTTGACTTTCATGGGCTTGAATTAAAGATGTGATAGCTCTCCCTATTTACCCACACTCTCTTAGATGGGAACCCCATTC